TATAACTATCTATTTAATTTGTCTATTAATTTAATCTAATCTATTTTTTCCATTTAATTTATCTATCAATGCATCTATCTACTCTATTTTTGTCTTTCAATTTAATCTATCTAATCTATCTATCTAATCTATTTAATCTATTCTAATCAATTTTTTCCTATCTATCATCTATCTATCTATCTATCTATCCATCTACCTATCTACCTACCTACCTACCTACCTACCTACCTACCTACCTACCTATCTACCTACCTACCTACCTACCTACCTACCTATCTATCTATCTATCTATCTATCTATCTATCCACTCAAAGGTCAACTTTCAACTTTCCCCTGCAGTTTACTGGCTTCCCCCATTGGTGCATTCGAAGGCGGGGGCGTGGCCGCCAGCAGCCAATGGGCGCACGCGGAGGAGGATGTCCGAGGATTCCGCGCATGCGCAGTGACCTTGGCGTTTCTGTTGTCCGGCGGTTGCAAAGGAGCCGAAAGGAAAGGAAGGAAGGAAGGAGGGAGGCGACCATGGTTTCGTGGCTTCTCTGCCGCGCCGTCGTGTGAGTCGGGGGGCTGTTCGGATGCCCTCGAGGGCCCTTCCTTTCCCTCCCTGACGTTTGACGGCATGGCCATCTGTCGGGGTGGCTCAGATGGTGCTTCACAGAAGGGGGCTGGACTGGATGTCCTTTTGGGATCCCTTCTAACTCCGGGCTTCTCCCCAATGGTTCCTCTTCTACTTCCGGGAAAGGAGTGACTATTTGGGAGCCATAAAGAGGGATCCGCCCTAGGCCCAAATATTATTATTATTATTATTATTTCCTTTTTTTTTTTTTTTTTTTTTTTTTTTTTTTTTTTTTTTTTTTTTTTTTTTTTTTTTTTTCTTTTTTTTTTTTTTTTTTTTTTTTTTTTTTTTTTTTTTTTTTTTTTTATTATTATTATGTTTATACCCCGCTTTATCTCTTCCAAAGGAGACCCAAAGTGGCTATGTATCTATTATTATTATTATTATTATTATTATTATTATTATTATTATTATTATCTATTCTGCATTATCTCCCTAATGAGACTCAAAGCCACCATGTATCTATTATTATTATTATTATTATTATTATTATTATTATTTCTTTACTGAAGGAGACCAAAGGGGCTATGTAGCTATTATTATTACTATTATTATTATTATCCTGCATTATCTTTTCCTAATGAGACCCAAACTGCTATGTATCTATTGTTATTACTATTATTATTGTCCCTCATTATCTCTCCCTAATAAGACTCAAAGCCTCCATGTATCTATTATTATTATTATTATTATTATTATTATTATTATTATTTATTTATACCCCGCTTTATCTCTCGAAGGAGACCCCAAATGTAGCTATTATTATTATTATTATTATTATTATTATCCTGCATTATCTTTCCCTAATGAGACTCAAAGCCACTATGTATCTATTATTATTATGTTTATTTTTTACCCCGCTTTATCTCTCCCGAAGGAGACCCAAAGTGGCTATGTATCTATTGTTATTATTATTATTATTATCCTGCATTATCTTTTTCTAATGAGACTCAAAGCCTCCATGTATCTATTATTATTATTGTTTATTTATACCCCGCTTTATCTCTCCCGAAGGAGACCCCAAGTGGCTATGTATCTATTATTATTACTATTATTAATATCCTGCATTATCTTTCCCTAATGAGACTCAAACTATGTATCTATTACTATTATTATTGTCCTGCATTATCTCCCTAATGAGACTCAAAGCCGCTATGTATCTATTATTCTTATTCTTATTATTATGTTTATTTATACCCCGCTTTATCTCTCCCGAAGGAGACCCAAAGTGGCTATGTATCTATTATTATTACTATTATTATTATCCTGCATTATCTCTCCCTAATAAGACTCAAAAGTTGCTATGTATCTATTATTATTATTATTATTATTATTATTATTATTATTATTATTTTTATTATGTTTATTTATACCCTGCTTTATCTCTCCCGAAGGAGACCCAAAGCGGCTATGTATCTATTATTATTATTACTGTTATTACTAACCTGCATTATCTCTCCCTAATGAAACTCAAAGCCACTCTGTATCTATTATTATTATTATTATTATTATTATTATTATTATTATTACTATTATTATTAATACCCCACTTTATCTCTCCCGAAGGAGACTCAAAGCGGCTGACACACAATTTAAAACATGCAAATATGCAAACATTAAAACAGAATTAAACATAACAGCGCTTTAACATTCACAGTTTACATCCATTAAGACATATTCAAAGCTAAAAATCCTGTTCAACATCTTTATTAATGACTTGGATGAAGGTTTAGAGCAGACATGGGCCTGCTTGGGCCCTCCAGGTGTTTTGGACTCCAACTCCCACCATTCCTAGCAGCCTACTGGCTGTTAGGAATGGTGGGAGTTGAAGTCCAAAACACTGGAGGGCCCAAGTTGGCCCCTGCCTGCCTTAGTGGGAATGCTTTTTTCCAAGTTTTCAGATGGGAAGCTACTTCCTTGGAGGCTTTTAAACAGAGACTGGATGGCCATCTGTTGGGAATTCTTTGAGTGTGCTTTTCCTGCATGGCAGGAGGGTGTGGGACTGGATGGTCCATGTAGTCTCATCTAATTATAGTTCTATAGGAGTCTAATTGAGTCTCCTTCTCTGGAGGTTTTAAAGCAGAGGCTGGGTGGCCATCTGTCGGTAGGGATTGGATATCGTCTCACTTTACGGTTGAAAGGGGCTGGACTGGGTGGCTCCTTTCCACCTCTAGGATGCTAGGAGGGGAGTGAATGCTGGGAGGGGGCCTTTCCAGCCTTACCTTACTTACCCTCCAAGGAGGGTCCCCTAAAGGGCATCTAGTCAGACCTCCCTTTTCCTGGGGTCCAGCTAAATGCCCTTTAGGGTCTCCTTCTCAAGGCCATTGGGGAGAAGATGCCAAGGAGAGAATGGGGGGAGGGAGAGAAAAAGCAGTGCCTCCAACTTCCACCTCTTGGGGTTGGGCTAGATGCCCTTTAGGAGCCCCTCCTCAGCCACAAGCAGTTGAGATGGGACCATTCTTTCTCTTGGGCCTCCATCCCTTGGCTGTTCCACTGCTCCAGAGATTTGAAGGTGAATCAGTGGACTCAAAACACAAGAATAGAAGTGCAAGACATAGAGTTGGAAGGGATTGTCCAAATGCCATCCAGCCCAGCCTCCTTCTGCCAGGTAGGAAAACTTGAGCCAAACCCTCCTGACGGATAGCCATTCATAATCTGTGTTGTTGAAGCCTTTCATGGCCGAAATCAGGAGCCCCCGGTGGTGCAGTGGGTTAAACCCCTGTTCCAGCAGGACTGAAGATTGACAGGTCGCAGGTTCGAATCCGGAGAGAGCAAGGGTGAGCTCCCTCGGTCAGCTCCAGCTCCTCATGCAGGGACATGAGAGAAGCCTCCCACAAGGGTGGTAAAACATTAAAAAAATCCGGGCGTCCCCTGGGCAACATCCTTGCAGACGGCCAATTCTCTCACACCAAAAGCGATTTGCAGTTTCTCAAGTCGCTCCTGACAAGACAAAAAAAAAAAAGGCTCGAATCGCCGGGATGCTGTCAGTTTTCTGGGCTGTCTGGCCATGTTCCAGAAATGTTCTCATCTATGGCAGGCATCCTCAGAGGTTGTGAGGGCTGTTGGAAACTACGCAAATGAATGTATTGTCCAAGGCTTTCATGGCCAGAATCACTGGGTTGTTGTAGGTTTTTTTGGGCTATGTGGCCATGTTCTAGAGGCATTCTCTCCTGACTTTTCGCCTGCACCTATGGTAAGCATCCTCAGAGGAAGTGAGGTCTGTTGGAACTAGGAAAATGGATTTATATATCTGTGGAATGACCAGGGTGGGACAAAGGACTCTTGTCTGCTGGAGCTAGGTGTGAATGTTTCAACTGATCACCTTGATTAGCATTTGATGGCCTGGCAGTGCCTGGAGCAATCTTTTGTTGAGAGGTGATTAGATGTCCTTGTTTGTTTCCTCTCTGTTGTTGTGCATGTGGACAATTTCAACAGAAAGGAGGAAACCATGAAAATGAATAAAATCTGGCTACCAGTATTAAAAAACTCTAAAATTAGAACAGCATATAACATACATAAATCCTCCGCATGACCATACAGCTTGGAAAACTCACAGCAACCCAGTGATTTCGGCCATGAAAGCCTTGACTACATCTGCCTGCCACCTCAGGAGGAGAAGGAGGAAATCTTGCTGCTTCCCCCCTCCCAAGCCAGCTAAGAGGAGGAAGGGGACTGAGGAAGAGACTTAAAAAACACCTGTCTCCTGGCTGTTGCTTACTACATCTGCCTGCCACCTCAGGAGGAGGAGGAGGAAATCCTGCTGCTTCCCCCCCTCCCAAGCCAGCTAAGAGGAGGAAGGGGACTGAGGAAGAGACTTTAAAAACACCTGTCTCCTGGCTGTTGCTTACTACATCTGCCTGCCACCTCAGGAGGAGGAAAAGAAGAAATGCTGCTTCTTCTCCCCTCAAGCCAGCAAAGAGGAGGAAGGGGACTGAGGAAGAGACTTTAAAAACACCTGTCTCCTGGCTGTTGCTTACTACATCTGCCTGCCACCTCAGGAGGAGAAGGAGGAAATCCTGCTTCTTCTGGCTGTTGCTTATTATTTCTTTTGTGGTTTTATATTGTATTTAATGTTTTTATGTGCATTTTGATATTATGTATATTACTTGTTGCCTGTAAACCACCTTGAGTCGCTGGAGGGCAGAGAAAGGCGGTATACAAATACAGTAAATAAATAAATAAATAAATAAAAATACATTATGACTAAATTGTGGGATCGTTAGCCACTTTGAGTCCCAATTGGGGAGAAAGGCGGAGTATCAATAAAATTATTATTATTATTAATAATAATAATAATATTTTGGGGGAGAGTCTGGCAATGGTTGCTTTTGTTTGAGACCTGCGAGGGAGGAGGTATGGCTGAGGAGCCGGTTTGCCTAGTCTGATCCTGCCCCAGTTGGGAAACCGGCCCTTCCTGTGTGGGAGGGAGAGGAGCATCCCAGAAGGGGTGTTTTGAGTGGCTCCTTGGAAGTCTTAACTCTGCAATACGCCTCTCCTTTGATCCTCATTTGGGGCAGGGGCTTCCTTTCTTTGGAGCCACCATGGAAGCCCTGAAGGCCAAGGCGGTGCGCCAGGCCAAGAAGTACGGTCTCTGGCTCCTAGCCGGACTGTACCGCTGCTGGCCGGCTTTCCTGACCCCACCGTTCCGTTACAGGCTGATCTTTGGGATGCTCTACCCTGCCTATGCCTCCTACAAGGCCGTGAAGACAAAGAACATCCGGGAATACGTGAGTTTTTTGCGTGGACGACAGTTACGAAGGGACCACAGGATAATGCTTGGGGATGAGGTTGATTGAATGGAGTTTGATCTAATGGACTTGTGCATTTATGGTTGAAGAAGGTGATTGTTGGAATTCAACTCCACACTGGCCAAGTTTCAAGTCCTCAGTGAGAAACAGTTTAGTTAGCTTAGAATAGACTAAGGCAGTTTGTCTCAACGTGGGGGATGGGACCCCTGGGGGCAGGGGCGGCTCAACCCATTACGCAAAGTAAGCATTTGCAGTATAGTTGATTTTGCCCAGGGGGGCTCTTGAGGCGCTTTGGGGAAAAATAGACCTTGACATATTCGAGTTGTAGTTACTGGGATGTATAGTTCACCTACAATCAAAGAGCATTCTGAACTCCACCAATGATGGAATTGAACCAAATATGGCACACAGAACTCCCACGACGAACAGAAAATATATATCAGTGATTGGTTGGGGGGGGGGGGGATGCCAAAATACTGTTTGCTTACCATTGAAAATTACCTAGGGCCTGGGGGGGGGGGTTGTGAGGGGATGTCAGAGGGGTCGGCAGAGACCATCAGAAAACACAGTATTTTCTGTTGGTCATGGGAGTTTCGTGTGGGAAGTTTGGCCCAATTCTATCATTGGTGGGGTTCAAAATGCTTTGATTGTAGGTGAACTATAAATCCCAGTAACTATAACTCCCAAATGTCAAGGTCTATTTCTCCCAAACTCCATCTGTGTTCATATTTGGGCATATAGAATATTCATGCCAAGTTTGCTCCAGATCCTGCATTGTTTGAGCCCACAGTGCTATCTGGATGTAGGTGAACTACAACACCCATTCTCAAGGTCAATGCCCACCAACCCTTCTAGTGTTTTCTGTTGGTCATGGGAGTATTCTGTGCCGAGTTTGGATCAATTCCATCATTGGTAGAGTTCGGGATGCTCTTTGATTGTAGGTCAACAATAAATCCCAGCAACTACAACTCCCAAATGGCAAAATCAATTCCCACTCCTTGGGTTAGTAGTTGTCTTGTGGCCAAATTTGACGACAATTCGTCCAGTTGTTTTTTGAGTTACGTTAATCCCACAAATGAACATTACATTTTTATTTATATATATTTATATACAGGCACATTTGTTTTGTTAAAATACTTCAAAAACATTTGGAGAGTTTGTATCTTAAAGCCTATAAACAAGCCTCAACAGTTTAGTAGCTTCTAACATTAACTTCTGCACACTAAAAGACATTCACTTAACAGGGCTCAAAGCTTAACCGACACCTTTAACTGTGAATTCCTTTTAAAACTGAACATCCTAAACCGTCACGCTTGCAGCCTCTCCCACTGCTTCAGTACAAAAGACGAGGCAACTGCAGACTATAAACAAGAACCATAGAATCATAAGTTGGAAGAGACCTCGTGAGCCATCCAGTCCAATCCCCTGCTAAGAAGCAGGATAATCAAATTCAAAGCACCCCCGACAGATGGCCATCCAGCCTCTGCTTAAAAGCCTCCAAAGAAGGAGCCTTCACCACACTCCGGGGCAGAGAGTTCCACTGCTGAACAGCTCTCACAGTCAGGAAGTTCTTCCTAACATTCAGGTGGAATCTCCTTTCCTGTAGTTTGAAGGTTATAAAATGACATACTGATGAAATAGACAAACATCACATAGAGGAGGCTTGAGAGGTTGCTTCCTCCAACATTTATTTCCACATCAAGCCACATTTTGCAAAAGCCAATTCTCACAGGGACAGAAAGCAAGGGAAAATCTTTGAACAGGGGCACGGACAGTAAAGGAAATGGTACACCTTCCCTATGCTCTCCAAACCTTATCTGTCTGTCTGTCTGTCTGTCTTTGGCTGGAGTTAGACTTCAAAAATGTCCCTGTTCTGACTTACATACAAGTGCAATTTAAGAACAAATCTAAAGAACCTCTCTTATGTGCTGTGTGCTTTGAGATTTCTCTCTGCTTGTGTGTCAGGAGAGATGTAGTGATTAATTTTTTCCCTCTCTGGAAACCTTAGAAGAGATGGGTGTTAGAGTAGCTCAGACCTAGTATCTTAGGGAACGGCCTTATTTATTTATTTACTTCATTTATATACTGCTTTTCTCAGCCCTTGGGCGACTCAAAGTGGTTAACAATAGCAAAATTCAATGCTCAACATCATAAAAACAGTAAAAAAAAATAAAACAATGACATAATAAACAATAAAACATAACTATAAGATCTCATAGGTAGAATCAAGATCCAATCTCATCATACGTTGTTCCATATTCCTATATTCATTACACTGCCTATTCAAATGCCTGGTCTTCACTTTCCTCCAAAATGTCAACAGGGAGGGGGCCAATCTAATATCTGTAGGAAGGGCATACCACAGCCAAGGAGCCACCACTGAGAAGGCCCTGTCTCTCGTCCCTGCCAGACCTACTTATGATGCAGGCGGGACCAAGAACAGGGCCTCCCCAGATGATCTTAACGTCCTAGCTTTGTGGTCAAGAAGGAGAGATGTTGCATTGGCAGGATTCCATTAACACTTCCCTGGTTTCCTGGCAGGTGCGCTGGATGATGTACTGGATCGTGTTTGCCCTCTTTATGGCCACCGAGACTGTTGCAGACACCTTCATTTCTTGGTAAGTCTTCCTTACCCCAATCTGAACCGCATTCCCCAAAATCCCCTTTCTTCCCTGGTCTCGAATGCATCGCAGGACTTGGGAATCATGCCTCCAGTCTTTTGGCTCTGCCTCTCTTCCCAGGACAAAGTCTTGAGTCACATTTTGTTTGATTTAGCCATTAGTTTGTAACCACCAGAGCCTTCAGCGCTTTCCTCTCTACATCAGTTTGTAGCACAGTGGTTCTCAACCTGTGGGTCCCCAGGTGTTTTGGTCTACAAGTCCCAGAAATCCCAGCCAGTTTACCAATTGTTAGGATTTCTGGGAGTTGAAGACCAAAACATCTGGGGACCCACAGGTTGAGAAACACTGCTGTAGCAGTTTGGCTAAAAGGTTTGGCAATATGGCTGGCCTTAGACAAGATGGTGGGCAATCAGAGACCAAACAGCCTAGGGGAGTTTGGTAATGGGCAAAATCCAGAACCGTTTTGCCTTTGATTCACCTTCTGATTAAATGTGTGGATGTCATTTTTTACATGTAGCGAACCTCCTCCCCTTCATCTAAATATGCTCACATTGCATTTGCCAGGGATTGCAACAGTCCCAACGGTGACCTGGATCTTCTTAAAAGTACACCCACACTCTCCACATTCCACTTGTGTTAATACTCTTTGCATTCCTCCCAAGGCGTCCAGGGAATCAAGCCTTGTTCTCCATTTGCTCTGCCCTGGCAGAACGTTGTTTCTCAACCTGGGGATTGGGAGGGGGTTTCAGAGGTGTTGCCAAAGATCATCAGAAAACATATTTCTGATAGTCTTAGGAACCCCTTTGACAGAGAAGACTGAAGATCTCTCCGCCTGTCCTTCTTTTCCTTTTTAGAAATAGAGGGCGAATCCTCTCACCAAAAGCCCTCCTTTGCTGTTGTTGGCCGGCCTCTCAGCCAAGGGGAGGGCTGTTTCTGAGACTCCAAGAAGGGAGGGGAGAGCAGGCGTGCACGGCACATGGCAACGTGGTGCACATGTGTGGTGAGGAGAGTGTGTGAGGCTGGAGGGAGTTCTGTGTGGGAAGTTTGGCCCAATTCTATCATTGGTGGGGTTCAGAATGCTATTTGATGGTAGGTGAACTATAAATCCCAGCAACTACAATTCCCAAATGTCAATGTAGATTTTCTCCAAACTCCACCAGCATCCACATTTGAGCATATTGAGCATTTGTGCCAAGTTTGGTCCAGATCTGTCATTGTTTGAGTCCACAGTGCTCTCTGGATATAGGTGAACTACAACTCCAAAACTCAAGGTCAGTGCCCACCAAACTCTTCCAGTATTTTCTGTTGGTCGTGTGTGTTCTGTGTGCCAAGTTTGGTTCAATTCCATCATTGATGGAGTTTGGAATGCTGTTTGATTGGAGGGGAACTATAAATCCCAGCAACTACAACTCCCAAATGACAAAATCAATGCCAACCCCACCAGTATTCAAATTTGGGCGTTTTGGTTATTTGTATCAAATTTGGTCCAGGGAATGAAAATACATCCTGCATGTCAGATATTTGCATTACGATTCATAACAGTAGCAGAATTACAGTTGTGAAGCAGCAACAAAAATAATTCAATGGTTAGGGGTCACCACAACATGAGGAACTGTATTAAGGGCTCATGGCATTAGGAGGGTTGAGAAACACTTCCGTAGGAGGAAGGCAAGACTGGGAAAAAGGCAGAGGATGCAGCCCATACCTTCCCCATTTCTCCCAGTGGGAAAGATTGTACCTGGCCTTCTGTGTGACTTGTGCAAAGTAGCTCCAGTTTGCTCCGCTGGCATAGTGAATGCAACTCAGCCAGGCCTGTGAATCATCCCATCAGCTGTTGACAGGCGCCTTCCAGGTTTGGCTCAGAGGCAAAGAGTACTTGTACAGCTGACTACCAGATTGGCTTAAAAACACTGCAGCAGTGAAAAGGCCTATGAAGTGTCCTATAGCAATGTTAGAAAACAAAACTGGTATAAAGAAACTATAGCACATTGTGCATGTGGCAGGGTTAGATGTCCTTTGACCAGTAGCTGGCCACTTGGAGTGCCTCTGGTGTTACTATAAGAAGGTCCTCCATTGTGCATGTGGCAGGACTCAGGTTGCATTGCAGCAGGTGGTTTGTATTTTGCTCTTCTCCACACTCGTATGTCGTGGATTCCACTTCGTAGCCCGATTTCTTAAGGTTGGCTCTGCATCTCGTGGTGCCAGAGCGCAGTCTGTTCAGCACCTTCCAAGTCACCCAGTTTTCTGTGTGCCCAGGGGGGAGTCTCCCATTTGATATCTGCCATTGATTGAGGTTCTGGGTTTGAGCCTGCCACTTTTGGACTCTTGCTTGCTGAGGTGTTCCAGCAAGTGTCTCTGTAGATCAACTATTTCTTGATTTAAGTCGTTGACATGCTGGCTAATACCCAAACAGGGGATGAGCTGGAGATGTCACTGTCTTGGTCCTTTCACTATTGGCTGCTACTTCCCGGCGGATGTCAGGTGGTGCAATATCGGCCAGACAGTGTAATTTCTCCAGTGGTGTAGGGCGCAGACACCTTGTGATAATGCGGCATGTGTCACAAAGAGCCACACCCACTGTTTTAACGTGGTGAGATGTATTCCACACTGGGCATGCGTACTCCGCAGCAGAGTAGCAAAGTGCAAGGGCAGATGTCTTCACTGTGTCTGGTTGTGATCCCCAGGTTGTGCCAGTCAGCTTTCGTATGAAACTATAGGTGATTTACTATTTGTTTCTCTAGCAACTTGCATTGAGTATTCACCACTTCCTTTGATTGTCCCACATTATGCTTGGCTGCAACCTAGAATTAAAACCAGTTTAATTGGCACTGTTGTCTATCAATGTACCAAGATTCTCAGTTGGAAAAAAGAGACAGGCACATTTTGGTTATTTATCTCAGAGTAGGCTGTTTGTGGCAACAGAGAAATACCAATTTTGCTCAATTTTTTCCCTTTCCATCTTCACGGTTCTGCTTTTTCCTCCGGCCAGGTTCCCCTTCTACTATGAAATCAAGATGGCCTTTGTGGTGTGGCTCCTGACGCCTTACACCAGGGGAGCCAGCCTGCTCTACCGCAAGTTCATCCACCCGACTCTCTCCCGCAAGGAGAAGGTAAAGGGCCACATGTGCCTTCTTCCTGGGAAAGGGAAGGGTGGGAGCCATGCAGGGCAACATCTGTCTGAAGGCTGTGCCCCTTTCCAATGTGTAATTAAAAATGCCTAGTTAATTTTTAATATTTGACGCCTTCTCCTTGCTTCTTCCTGTGCAGGAAATTGACCAGTTGATCCTGCAGGCCAAAGAGCGCAGCTACGAGACCCTTGTGAACTTTGGGAAGAAGAGCCTCAACGTGGCTGCAACGGCTGCTGTGCAGGCCGCCCACAAGGTCAGGCTGTTGTGTTGTTTATTATGGCTTCCTTCCCCACTGCATTTTGTGTCAACACTTTGATCTTGGGGTCTACTTTGGTTCTCATGTTGAAAGAGAGATGGGAAATATTTTCAAAAAGAAACCTCACTGTTCTTCTCTCCTACTCCCTTTTCCTGTCTTCTGCTCAGAGCCAAGGGGCCCTGGCCGGACGCCTGCGCAGTTTCAGCATGCAGGACCTGCGCAACATTCCCGACGCAGCGCCCGTCCATTACTCTGACCCGCTCTACCTGGAGGAGGAGCAGCTCCGGCGACGGCCGATTGGTAGGAGAGACATTGAATGGCTGCCCACGGACGAGATCTAGCCGTGGAGCCTCTCCGCAGCTGCTGACCTGGACTTTTTCTCTTGCAGGATGGAGGGCAGCTTCCCAACTGCAGGGCTCCGATAGCAACGAGGAGGACTGCTGGTCAGACTCTGGCCTCTCCGCCAGCCCCCGGCTTCAGGGCAAGGAGCCCGGGCTGCCAAAGCCGCTGGCCAGGAGCCAAAGCCTCCGCATTGTGAGGAAGAAACCCCCCACCAAAGAGGTGAGGCCCTGCAGGGAGAATGGTGGGATCCTCCTTTCTCTCCTTTTAGTGATAATAATAAACTTTATTAATTCCCCCGCCACCATCTCCCCAATGGGGACTCGGAGTGGCGTACATGAGGCCAAGCCCATATAACAATTACAATAAAGAAAACCGAAAACACAAACCGAAAACGCGAACAATAAACAATAACATCATAGTAACTCAAAACATATGAATACATAACTATATAAAAAATAAAAAATATGCACAGGCACAATAATAATGTAGTAATTAAAAGGACAAAATGATTAAAACTAATTAAAAACTCGGGCGAGATAAAAGAGGGAAACAGGTAATTTATGGAGGAGGGCTCATTATAGCGGGAGTTGTGGAATCAAGCTTTCCCATGAGGGGGGACGTATACTCCAATGACAGATAATCCATGTGGGATTATATACCTACTCATCTAAGGCGCAGCGGAAAAGCCAGGTTTTAAGGTTCTTTTTGAAGATTTCTAGGGAAGGGGCTTTCCTAATTTCTCCAGGCAATGAGGACCAGAGTTGGGGAGCCACAGTGGAAAAGGCTCTCTCCCTTGTACTCACTAGGTGAGCTTGGGAGACTGGCAGGGGCGAGAGAAGGGCCTCCCCAGAAGATCGGAGGGCCCGAGATGGTTCATGGTGGGAGATACGGTCACAAAGGTAGGCAGGTCCCAAATTGTTTAGGGCTTTGTACATGACAACCTGCACCTTGAATTGGGACCGGAAAATAAACGGCAGCCAGTGGAGCTCCTTAAAAAGGGGAGTTGACCGCTCCCTGTAGGTCGCCCCAGTTATTAATCTGGCTGCCGAACGTTGGACAAGTTGTAGTTTCCGGGCCGTCTCAGGAAAATTCACAAGGTCACATTCCTGGGAGAGGCCCTTCACAGTCTTTCTTAGAGCAACTAGATTAGAGAGATGGGCCAAAACTAACAAAATGAAGTTCAACAGGGACAAATGCAAGATACTCCACTTAGGCAGAAAAAACGAAATGCAAAGATACAGAATGGGGGACGCCTGGCTCGAGAGCAGTACGTGTGAAAAAGATCTTGGAGTCCTCGTGGACAACAAGTTAAACATGAGCCAACAATGTGATAAACTGTCTGAAGATGATTTGTCTGGTGCAGAAGTTAATGAGGGTCAAGTTAGATAGAAGGCAAGGCTTTTGTAAACAGCGACAGAGTGCTTAAGCGCAAAGAAGATCAGTTCGTTTACAGGAAAAGAGAGATAAGAAACCTTTATCTGGTGGTAAGGTCAAGAGAAATGCTTTCCTTTTGGTTTTGGCATCTGGAAAATCCTTATATTGATTCGTGGGAAAGAGTTGCCTCAGTTGGGTCAGCGTTGGAATTTTATGATGATGTTGCTTACAAGTGTTCTTAATTTCACATACCAAGTTTTTGCCAGGCTCCTGATTTGTGTATTGGATTTTTCATGCTGCCCTGTTTCATGGATTCTTGTGCCTATTTCATGGATTTTAAATACCTATGGACCTAATTTTGCTCATGGACTAACCTTTTGTAACTTCACTGTTTTTGCTATTTTTAATGCTTTGCCTGCTTATTGTTTTCACTAAACTGCTTGCTGATTTTACCAAGCTGGTGTGGTGTTTAAGGTCAGAGAGGTTCTTGCTCTGGTCTACGACAGCGGGAAAAAAATAAAATGTATTATTATTATTATTATTATTATTATTATTATTACTGTCTGTATCATTAAAATACCTGACATTCCTCTCTTTGCAGGGCTCTGTGAGGCTGGTGCGCGGCCGCCCCAGGAAGAAGGTGGTCGACCAGGAGAACTAGAGGCCACATTGACAAAAACGTCTAAGGACGATTGGGTTCACCTGTCTGCTCATGATGCCGCCTTCAGCCCGAGGAATGCCTTTCTTTCAGACTTTTTCCTCAAAGGCAGCTACATCCAAAGGGGGCCAAAGATGTGTTGCTGGCATTGGCGACAGAGGAAACAGCTGCTGGACGGCCGTAGCTTTTAATGGGGAGGCCTCGAGGGGTCCCTCCCTCGTTCCCTTCAATTTCTAAGGGGCCAAACTTTGCAGGGTTCATCCTTTAATCCAAAGTGCCTTTTCCCATCTTCTCTTTGTGCCTCTTGCCTTTCGCCATGTGCCTTTTCTCAGCATCAGGTACACGGTTGCGCCATTGAAACGGCCTGCCTTTTTGAAGCGGTGCCAATGGCACAGAGACTGGCTTCACATCCCGAAACACTATGGGTTTTGGAGCTGTGGCTGATGAGAAACCAAAGCAAACCCACAGCCTCTTGGGTTCCCCTTTTGCCAGAGAAGGACCTCGATCCGGCTCAATCGCTCACATTCCCTTCTCTCTGTGAAAACACTAACTTGGCTACTACTTGAAGACCACCACAGGCTCAGACACTTAAATGTATTTGTAACGTTTTAATATTATTTTTAAATAAACACATTTTGTCTTGTAAAGTGGCTCTGTATTTATTTGGTTTGGCAAATGGAATGTGGGTGACTCAGGGCAATTTATTTTAATATTGCTGTTATAAATAATAGGGGTCGCAGTGGGTTAAACAGCTAATCTGCTGAACTTGCTGATCGTAAGGTCAGCAGTTCGAATCCAGGGAGCAGGGTGAGTTCCCACTGTTAGCCCCAGCTTCTCCCAACCTAGCAGTTTGAAAACATGCAAATGTGAGTAGATCAATAGGTACCGCTTCTGCAGGAAGGTAACAGCGCTCCATACAGTCATGCTGGCCCCATGACCTTGGAGGTCTCTATGGACAACACCACCTCTTCAGCTTAGAAATGGAGATAAGCACCAACCCCCAGAGTCGGACACAACTGGACTTAATGTCAGGGTAAAGCTTTACCTTTACTTTTTATTATAAATAATAATATACATTATATCAATTTATATTAAAATAGAAATAATATTAGTTATTGTTAATAGTAGTTTTTGGAGGGAAGGATATTGGAGACAAAGTTGAAGTACTTTGGCCACATCATGAGGAGACAGGAAAGCTTAGAGAAGACAATTATGCTCGGGAAAGTGGAAGGAAAAAGGAAGAGGGGCCGACCAAGGGCAAGATGGATGGATGGCATCCTTGAAGTGACTGGATTAACCTTGAAGGAGCTGGGGGTGGTGACGGTCGACAGGGAGCTCTGGCGTGGGCTGGTCCATGAGTCACGAAGAGTTGGAAACGACTGAACGAATGAACAACAATAGTAGTTTTTATATCTTACCTTTCCTCAAGGCAGATCAAACTCAATACCATTAAAATAAATATATTAAAAATATAGGACGAAGATTAAAATGCCAATATTAATAAATTATACATTTATTAATTTCTTGTAAGCTGGCTCTGTTTATTCTGTTTAGAAAGTGGAATGTGGGTGAAGCAGCGCTATTTATTTTAATATTGCTATTATAAATATGAAGATAAATAATACAAATATCAATTTATATCTATATTAAAATATAAATAATATTAGTGGACTTTTAGCTGCAAAGTCAATCAGTGAGGCAATCTGCATAGAGACCTGTTGGAAATGCGAAACAAGTGGAATGTGTGTGTGTGTGTGTGTGTGTGTGTGTGTGTGTGTGTATATATATATATATCTGTGGAATGAAAGAACTTTCTCTTTGAGACAAGTGGGAATGTTGCCATTGGCCAGCTTCAGATCCAACCAGTCCATATTTTAGGAAATAAAGCTCGACTGCTCATTGGAGGGAAGGATAGTAGAGGCCAAAGATGAAGTACTTTGGCCACATCATGAGAAGAAAGGAAAGCTTAGAGAAGACAATTATGCTGGGGAAAATGGAAGTAAAAAGGAAGAGGGGCCGACCAAGGGCAAGATGGATGGATGGCATCCTTGAAGTGACTGGATTGACCTTGAAGGAGCTGGGGGTGGTGACAGCCGACAGGGAGCTGTGGCGTGGACTGGTCCATGAGGTCACAAAGAGTCAGAAGCGACTGAACAAATAACCAGCTGCTAATGGCAACATTCACACTTGCCTCAAACAGATGAGAGTTCTTCCACCCTGGGCCTCATTCCCCATGTATATATACAGTCCAGTTGCCTCTTTTCCAGCAGACCACTATGCAGATACCATCACTGATTGACTGCATTATTTTTTATTTTATCGTGTCAGGAGAGAACCAAAACAGTTGTATTGCATTAAAAACAAACAAACAAACAAAACACAAAGTTTGCAGACTTGGTATTCTATTAAATGTCCTTTGACTAGTATCTGGCCACTTGGAGTGCCTCTGGTGTTGCTGCAAGAAGGTCCTCCATTGTGCATGTGGCAGGGCTCAGGTTGCATTGCAGCAGGTGGTCTGTGGTTTGCTCTTCTCCGCACTCGCATGTCATGGATTCCACTTTGTAGCCCCATTTCTGAAGGTTGGCTCTGCATCTCGTGGTGCCAGAGCGCAGTCTGTTCAGCGCCTTCCAAGTCGCCCAGTCCTCTGTGTGCCCAGCGGGGAGTCTCTCATTTGGTATCAGCTATTGATTGAGGTTCGGGTTTGAACCTGCCACTTTTGGACTCTCGCTTGCTGAGGTGTCCCAGCGAGTGCCTCTGTAGATCAGCTATTTCTTGATTTAAGTCATTGACGTGCTGGCTGATACCCAAACAGGGGATGAGCTGGAGATGTCACTGTCATGGTCCTTTCACTATTGGCTGCTACTTCCCGGCGGATGTCAGGTGGTGCAATACCGGCTAAGCAGTGTAATTTCTCCAGTGGTGTAGGGCGCAGACACCCTGTGATAATGCGGCATGTCTCATTAAGAGCCATTCCACAGTGGGCGTGAAGACTCAGCAGCAGAGTAGCATAGTGCAAGGGCAGATGTCTTCACTGTGTCTGGTTGTGATCCCCAGGTTGTGCCAGTCAGCTTTCGTATGATATTCTTTCTAGCGCCCACTTTTTGCTTGATATTCAGGCAGTGCTTGTAGGACTTTGCATTGATTTGACTTTTACAGTCCACTTGCTTCATTTCCACAGACCTCACAAGCTCTGAAGATGCCTGCCATAGATGTGGCCGAAACGTCAGGAGAGAATGCTTCTGGAACACTCGGAAAACTCACAGCAACCCAATGCTAAACCTGTTTTCATTCATTCATTGCTTTCTTAACTCGGAAACTGAAAATAGATGTATCTCTCTAACTTTTTCCTAAGTCTATGCTCTCACAAACAAGTCTCGCTTAAATCCCGCCCACTAGGAGCTCGCTTTCACGTCTGCGTGTTGACGTCACGTCCCCCGGCGCATGCGTAGTGCCTAGCGCGGGTACATTCAAACAAGAGAAGCGCCGGTAGAAAAGACTCGTCCGCATTTGACGGGTTCTTCGCTTCAGAACGGGCAGCGGCGGCGAAGAAGACTCGTATGACGGGCGTGAGAGGTAAATAGAGGCCGGTTCCTTGGGAGTTAAAGGCTCGAAAGATAGGAAGGGAACTGCGGCCTAGTCAGGCTTTTTTTGAAAGAGGGAAGCGAAGAGGTTTCTGATTGGTCAAGAAGGGGAAGGCTCAGCCAATAGGGAGCGTTGAAATATGGAACTCTTCCAGGGCGCGTGCTGATTGGACAAGGCGCGAGCGCGAGTGATGATAGCCGCTCAATTATCTAGTTGGGTTGCTGTAAGTTTTTCAGGCTGTATGGCAATGTTCCAGAAGCATTCTCTCCTGATGTTTCGCCTGCATCTGTGGCAGGCATCCTCTTATTTATATCCCGCTTTTCTCCCTCATGGGATAAAAAGTGGCTTACAACATATTTACATGATTTTAATATATTGTAAGCCACTTTTCAGGAGCCCCCGGTGGCGCAGTGGGTTAAAGCACTGAGCTGCTGAGCTTGTTGATCGAAAGGTCACAGGTTCGATTCCGGGGAGCCGCGTGAGCTTCCGCTGTCAGCCGTAGCTTCTGCCAACCTAGCAGTTCGAAAACATGCAAATGTGAGTAGATCAATAGGTACCGCTCCGGCGGGAAGGTAACGGCGCTCCATGCAGTCATGCCGGCCACATGACCTTGGAGGTGTCTACAGACAACGCTGGCGCTTCGGCTTAGAAATGGAGATGAGCACCACACCCCAGAGTTAGACATGACTGGACTTAATGTCAGGGGACTACCTTTACCTTTACCTTTAAGCCACTTTTCAAATATATTGATGACAATCCAAATATATTGATGACTAGCTGTCCCCTGCCACGCGTTGCTGTGGCCCTCAGAAAACAGAGGAATTCCAGCAATGAAACAATAGACAGAAGAGACTCATGGAAGGGACATTGATAGATGGAACAGAAGGTAGATGGATAGAACATAGGTAAGTAGATAGATCAGGGGTCCTCAAACTAAGGCCTGGGGGCCAGATGCGGCACTCCAAGGTCATTTACCTGGCCCTCGCTCAGGGTCAACCCAAGTATGAAACTATTTGAAAGCACACAATAACAACAACAATCCTATCTCAACAGCCAAAAGCATGCCCACACTTTCCATTGCATTATTAATAAGTTTATATTTGTTAAAATTGTTCCTAATTTTAATTATTGTATTGTTTTTAAATGTTTTTTTCACTATAAATAAGATATGTCCAGTGTGCATAGGAATTAGAATATTTTTTTCGAATTATAATCTGGCCCGCCAACAGTTTGAGGGACTGTGACCTGGCCCTCTGCTTATAAAGTTTGTGGACCCCTGAGATAGATGGCTGTTCAGACACACATACACATCTTTAAGAGGCCAAAGGGGGTTGGACTGGATGGCCTTTGGGGCTCCCTTCCAACTGGTTGGCCTTCTGTCGGGTAGGCTTTGATGCTGTCTTATAATAATAATAATAATAAAACTTTATTTATACCCCGCTACCATCTCCCCAAGGGACTCGGTGCGGCTTACATGAGGCCAAGCCCACAGTACATCAATAAGCAAAGGCAATAACAGAAACAATCAATACAAAACAATATAAATCACATAAACAAAAAAATAAACAATTTATTTATTTATCGAGTCATCAGCAATCAGTCAATTATATTACATTTCTAACAGAACAAAGCAAGCAAACAGACAAAATACAGAAATACAAAATACAAAATTTGTGAGTTTGGTAGTTGATTAAATGTCCTTTGACCAGTATCTGGCCACTTGGAGTGCTTCTAGTGTTGCTGCAAGAAGGTCCTCCATTGTGCATGTGGCAGGATTCAGGGTGCATTGCAGCAGGTGGTCAGTGGTTTGCTCCTCTCCACACTCGCATGTCGAGGATTCCGCTTTGTAGCCCCATTTCTGAAGGTTGGCTCTGCATCTCAAGGGGCCAGAGCACAGTCTGTTCTGCGCCTTCCACGTCGCCCAGTTTTCTGTGTGCCCAGGGGGGAGTCTCTCATTTGGTATCAGCCATTGATTGAGGTGCTGGGTTTGAGCCTGCCACTTTTGGACTCTCGCTTGCTGAGGTGTTCCAGTGAGTGTGTCTGTAGATCTAAGAAAACGATGTCTTGATTTAAGTCATTGACGTGCTGGCTGATACCCAAACAAGGGATGAGCTGGAGATGTCTCTGCCTTGGTCCTTTCACTATTGGCTGCTACTTTCCGGCGGATGTCAGGTGGTGCAATACCGGCTAAGCAGTGTAATTTCTCCAGTGGTGTAGGGCGCAGGCACCCCGTGATAATGCGGCATGTCTCATTAAGAGCCACATCCACTGTTTTAGTGTGGTGAGATGTGTTCCACACTGGGCATGCGTACTCAGCAGCAGAGTAGCATAGCGCAAGGGCAGATGTCTTCACTGTGTCTGGTTGTGATCCCCAGGTTGTGCCAGTCAGCTTTCGTATGATGTTGTTTCTAGCGCCCACTTTTTGCTTGAAGCACCTACAAGTGCTTCTTGTAGGCCAGAGCACGGTCCAAAGTGACTCCCAGGTATTTGGGTGTGTTGCAATGCTCCAGTGGGATTCCTTCCCAGGTAATCCTCAGAGCTTGGGATGCTTGTCTGTTCTTAAGGTGAAAGGCGCATGTCTGTGTTTTAGATGGATTAGGGATCAGTTGGTTTTCCCTGTAATAGGCAGTAAGAGCACCTAGAGCTTCGGAGAGCTTCTGTTCTACCATCTCAAAGCTCCCTGCTTGAGTGGTAATGGCATGATCATCAGCATAGATGAAACATATTAAAATCATGTAAACAACAAATATATTGATGACTAGCCGTCCCCTGCCACGTGTTGATAGATGGAACAGAAGGTAGATGGATAGAACATAGGTAAGTAGATAGGTGGAAATTCAGACACACATACACATCTTTAAGAGGCCAAAGGGGGTAGGACTGGATGGCCTTTGGGGCTCCCTTCCAACTGGTTAGCCTTCTGTCAGGTAGGCTTTGATGGTGTCTTATAATAATAATAATAATAATAATAATAATAATAATAATAATAATAACTTTATTTATACCCCACTACCATCTCCCCAAGGGACTCGGTGCGGCATACATGAGGCCAAGCCCACAGTACATCAATATACAAAGGCAATAACAAAAATAATCAATACAAAACAATTAATATAAATTACATAAACAAAAAATAAACAATAACAGTAACACACAAGCATTTAAAAAACCTTCCTTTCCTGCAAAAAGTGGTTGGGCTGGATGGCCTATGCGGTCCCTCCAACTACTATGGCTCGATGCTGTGAAATAATTCCACGATGTAGACCAGGGAGGGGCAGACTTGGGCCCTCCAGGGGTTTCTGACTCCAACTCCCACAATTCCTAACAGCCTTCCAAACAGCCTTTTGGGGTTGGAGTTGTTTTTGTTACTGTGTTTTTCAGTGTTTTTATGAGTGATGGTCACTTGTTGGCCTGATAGGTGTATTGTGTCCAAATTTGGTGTCAATTCGTCCAGTGGATTTTGAGTTATGTTAATCCCACAAACAAACAAATATTACATTTTTATTTATATAGATAAGTATAAAGCATTATAAACAGTTTAAAACAATAATAATATACATTCACATTCTTGTGGCATCATGTCAGATTACACACTGCACTTTGTTCCAGTCCATACACATTATGGTGTTTCTTATCACTCCAGCTTAATTTCCTTCACTAATGGCATGTCTAAACTGTAAAGTTTTTAATTGGTTCTTGAAAGAAGAAAAGGAGGAAGGGAGTTGTTTTCTTTTGGAAGGGTATTCACCGAAAACGCCCTCTCATTGATGTCAGTCGCGTTTGCGATGGTATTGGAAGTGAGAGTACAGCCTCATCAGAAGATCTTAAAGAGCGGGCCAGTTGGTATGAGGAGATGCGGTTAGATAAATAAGTTGGACGTGGACCGTTTAGGGAAGCATTTCTTAATGGGGGGGGGGGTTGGGACCTCATGGGGGGGTCGCGAGACAGTGTCAGAGGGGTCTCCAAAGATCACCAGAAAACACAGTATTTTCTGTTGGTCATGCAGGTTCTGTGTGCAAAATTTAACCCAATTATATCAGTGAGGTTCACAATGACCTTTGATTGTAAGTGAACTAGAAATCTCAGCAATTACAACTCCCAAATGTTAAGCCTATTTTCCCCAAACTCCACCAGTGTTCACATTTGAACATATTGAATATTCGTTGCCAAGTTTGTTCCAGGTCCATCATTGTTTGAGTACTCTCTGGACGTAGGTGAACTACAACTCCAAAACTCAAGATCAATGCCCAACAAACCCTTCCATTATTTTCTGTTGGTCATGGGAGTTCTGTGTGCCAAGATTGGTTCAATTCAATCATTGGTAGAGTTCAGAATGCTCTTTGATTGTAGGTGAACTACAAATCCCAGCAACTACAACTCCCAAATGACAAGATCTATCCCAACCCCACCAGTATTCAAATTTGGGCGTATTGGTTATTTGTGCCAAATGTGGTCCAGTGAATAAAAATACATCCTGCATATCAGATATTTACATTACGATTCATAACAGTAGCAAAATTACAGTTATGAAGTAGCAATGAAAATGTTATGGTTGTGGGTCACCGCAACATGAGGAACTGTAGTCAGGGGTCATGGCATTAGGAAGGTTGAAAAAGACTGATTTAGCGCTTTAAAGGTCAAAACCAGCACTCTCCTGGCTTAGACTCCTTTTCATCCCACTGGAATATAGATTTGACAAATGGCTTTCTTCCTGTCTCCCAGTAGCAATGAGTTCCTCAACCCCACAGTCGGCCGGGCGGAAAGGAAGCACCTCTTCCGACAGCGTGTTTGTGTCTCCTGGCACCAGGCGGCAGCCGCTGAGTTCCTCTGGGACCCCTGTCTTGGAGAACTGCCCCGACAATGACGACGAACGAGAAAGGAAGCAGAGGCGGCGCTCCAGAATTGTTGACCTGCAGTTTAGCACTGACTCGCCTCTGGCCATACAATCTCCCTCCAACAAGTAAGAGCAGATTTTGGAAAAAATTAAATATGTGCATATGTTTGTAGTTGTTTCTTACGGTAGAATGCTGCAGAGTCAGCTCTCCATATTCTCTTAAGTTTAAAAAATCAAGATCCCTCCAAAAGAGGGAAAAATTGAATTAAAAAAAACCTTGGAACACCTCTTTAGAAATCTTAACCATACAATGTAACTCTGCGGTCTATTTTGGAAAGTTTACCATAGAATCCTGCTGCAGGACCTGCAAATGCCTAGAGAAGTGATCTCCCTCGTGATCTCTAAGTCCTCTATGGCAGAGGTTGACCATAAAGTTGTCCTGGAGGACCTGGAGATACCGAAAAAGAACGTATTAATCAAGTCCGCAAACAATCAAACTCGCAAAAGAAACCTGCCAGTGTGGAATGCTGACTACTGTATATACTCGAGTATAAGCCGGGTTTTTCAGCTCTTTTTTAAGGCTGAAAAAGCCCCCCTTGGCTTATACTCGACTCAAAGTTATTTATTATTTTACTCTGTTATTATTATTATTATTATTATTATTATTATTACATTTATTTTACTCTATTTATTATTTTTGTTACATTTATTATTTTACTCTATTATTAGTAATATTACATTTATTATTTTACTCTACTAATTTTTATTATCTCCATTATTTTACCCTATTGTTATTATTACATTTATTATTTTACTCTCTTTATTATTGTAAGGATACATAAGCACATTTACATTGAAGAAGGTTAGATAATGGTTTAATCAGAGTTGGACAGTCTTGTCTTAAATTACAGTTTCATGTAAATATACAAAAACATTCAACCTACGGATGCCTCAATTAATGCAATTTTATTGGTATGTATTTTTATTTTGAAGTTTACTAATAGCTGCTGCATTTCCCACCCTCGGCTTATACTCAAGTCAATATGTTTTCCCTCTTTTTTGTGGTACAATTAGGTGTCTTGGCTTATATTTGGGTTGGCTTATACGCGAGTATATATGGTATAAAACATAACTTGTAAACATATTTTCAATGTATTTTTTAAACACACTTGCCACTCCATCACACAAAGTTATTTTTTGCTTTCTGATTTGCATTGCTGTGTGTCTTCAATTTTTCTATTTTCTTCTCCAGACATGCGGAAACGTCATTGCCAGCGATCCCACAACTGTCAAACACACAAATTGCGGAACATTATTCCACATGCATTAAACTGTCATCGGAAAATGTAAGTCTGCCTTCAGTTCATTAAGGTCGGAGTCTGTTTCTTAGTGGTGCTGAATCTTAAGCACTTTAAAATAAAGTGCAGAATACACTTTTGACTCCAAACTGAAGAGCATTGCTGCCCATAAGAGCAAAATTACTGTTCTCTCTTCCAGAAAATCACCACGAAGAATGCGTTTGGCTTGTTCCTCATTGACTACATGACAGAAATACTGAAGCAAAAGGATTCGGAACTTACCAACTTTAAGGTTAGCAGCCTTTCCAAGCGAGTTTTCTGAGACAAGGAGAACATGCTAGGCAAATTTGAAAGGGCTTTGCTTCTATTTCTGGGCATTCCTATGGGATTTTTTTTTGGTACTTAATTACTCCTTTCTCTATCTGGTAAAATTCCAGCTACAAACATACAAAACGTATTGACTCGAGTACAAGCCGAGGGTTGGAAGTGCAGCAGCCATGGGTAAATTTCAAAATAAAAATAGATACCAATCAAACTACATTAATTGAGGCATCTGTCAGTTAAATGTTTTTGAATATTTACATAAAACTGTAATTTAAGATAAGACTGTCCAACTCTGGTTAAACCATTATTCTAACCTTTTTTCAATGTCAATATGCTTACTTATCCTTCCAATAATAATAAAGTAATAAATGTAATAATAATAGAGTACAATAATGAAAATTTAATAATAGTAATAATAGAGTAAAATAATAAATGTAATAATAATAATAAATAGAGTAAGATAAATGTAATAAAATTAATAATAGAATAAAATAATGTACATGTAATAACAACAATAATAGAGTAAAATAATAAATGTAATAATAATAAGAATAAAATAATAAATGTAATATTAAATAGAGTAAAATAATAAATGCAATAATGACTACAGTAGAGTAAAATAATAAATGTAATAATAAAAAAGTAAAATAATAAATTTAATAATAGAGTAAAATAATAAATCCAATAATAACAATAATAAATAGAGTAAAATAATAAATCTAATAATAGTAATAAATAGAGAAAAAGGCCTCAGTGAGAAAGGCCTCAGTGTTAGTTTACCTCATTGTGTTAGAAGGCATCAGTCTGAGAGAGCCCTCAGTGTGAGAAGGCCTCAGTATGAGAAGGCCTGGTGTGAGAAGCCCCAGGTTGAAGGCCATCGTGTGTGAAGCTCCAGTATGATGGCTAATATGTGTAAAAAGCTAGTGTGAAGCTCCAGTGTAACTTTGGTGTGAGAGGAGGCTCTATGAGAGCAAAGCTGTTTATCTACATGAAAAAGAAGCCCAGCATGGAAGCAAAGAAGGAAGCGTCAAGAACTTTATTTTGTTATGGAAATCTTGTTCTTGTAAATAGTGCAACCATATTATTTTGCTATAAAGACAAGCCTCCTATGGAAGAGATAACATTGGTCTCTGTGTATTCTTTTTCTCACTGTGGGCTACTGGTGTTGGGTCATGCTGCTGCTAATAAGTCAATCTGCTGTATATTAATGAGGAGGGTCTTTTATTAATAAGTCCACTTGCCCAACAACCTTCAGGTCAGCAGTTCAGCAGCACAAGGGTTTAACCCATTACACAAACCACGGCTCAGTGCTGTTCGGAGTGTAGTAGAGTCTCCTTCACTGGAGGTTTTTAAGCAGAGGCTGGATGGTCATCTGCTGTGAGGGCTCGGGTAGTATCTGCCTGCACCACAGGGGATTGGACTGGATGGCCCTTGTGGTCTCTTCCACATTTATGATTCTATGAATATAGAAAATTGCAAGAGATGATATGTCTCTAGAAATCTCTAGGTCCTTTAATGAAAACTCTATTATGCTAGGTCAAGGTGTCAGGTAATTTAATGGCATTTGGTTGTATCTGCCATTTCACATAATCACAGTCCAACCAGGAACATATCCTCTGCATATACAGGTTCTTAGTGGACCTTCTTTTCAAACTGGTACCAAAAGCCCACAGGAGTTTGAGACCAGAGAGAGACAAAACCAAGAAATACATCATATAATCATATGAGTTGGAGCATGTAAGAAATCAGTTACTAGTGTGTGTGTGTGTGTGTGTGTGTGTGTCAACTGTAAAATAATAAGCCGATTGGTTGGGCTCTGCTGGGGAGCTGGAACTTTTGGATACTGTTACATCTATCAGCCTTGAGCCATGCACATGCTTGCAGAGAAGCAGTCAGAGAGATAGTTTGGAGTGTGCTCTTGCTTCACGAGCTGCTGAAAGAGGAGTTTATCCACATGGACAAAGAAAGACCATTTTAAATATCTCATAAAATGACATTATGTGAGTTAATGTGATTCATCACATGATTGTACATATGTTCAGAGCTACGAAAAGTAAACTACTTGTTCTTTATTGTTCAGCTGTGTGGCATATTTTCTTTCTCTTGCAAGGCAATGTATGGGCTGATCAAACATGAATTACGCATGATTTTCATTTTATCACAGGTTAAGGGCCCAGTCTCATGCCCAGTGCCACATCTGCTTGTGCCAGTGCCACTGTCAGTTATTTTACAAGGGCTGTAGTTAATATTTTTTGAAGTTATGAGTTGGAAGAGACCACAAGGACCATCCAGTCCAACCCTCTGCCATGCAGGAAGACACTATCCAAGCCCTCCTGACAGATGGCCATCCAGCCTCTGCGGAAAAAACACTCCACCGTAATCCAAGGGGGCAGCATATTCCACTGCTTATTTTCATTGATGATAGCCCACCTGGAGTTGAAAGCATACTTATAGCCCTTCACCAAGCTTGAGCCCCCTCCCCCCTGTGACGCCCTCTTTTCCCTTCCTTCTCGCAGGTGGCGGCTGGGACCCTCGATGCCAGTGCGAAGATCTATGCAGTGAGAGTTGATGCTGTCCATGCTGACGTTTACAAAGTTCTGGGAGGGCTGGGCAAAGAATCTGCACCAGCAGGGCCCGCGAATGGCCAGGATACAGGTTTGTTGTGTGGGATTTGGAATGGAATGCATTGGGATTGCAGAAATGGGTAGAAGGGATGTGTTTAGAGCAATCCTCTAGTGCAGGTATGGGCAAACTTGGGCCCTCCAAGTGTTTTGGACTCCAACTCCCACAATTCCTTTAGCCCATCTTAAGATTGCAACTTTTCCCACAGGTGGGGACCCTGATAGTTCAAGGAAAAATACCCGCAAAAGGAAGCACCTCTACAAAACCATTGAGCAGAATCTGAATAATATCAATGCGTCTGAGACAGATCGTAGAGTTGAGGTATGAAAAGCTGCTCTGACGATTAGTCTCCATCCTGTTTCTTTTAGCATTTCCTCCAATCACACATTAGGTTTCAGTAACCTTTATTTGATACCATATTTTGGTGCGTTGTCTAGGGCAGTGTTTCTCAACCTGGGGGTAGGGACCCTGGGAGGAGGGGAGTCGCCAAAGACCATCACATTTCTGATGGTCTTAGGAACCCCTGTTGGAAATTGCAACCTCCCAAGCCTTTTATTATTCATTTGTTAATATATATATTTGCTAACCTGTATTCTATGTGTATGTTGATTTGCCAGTTTGACTTACCTCTTTGGTGTGGGAGCAGATATAAGGTAAAGGTAGTCCCCTGTCATTAAGTCCAGTCATGTCTGACTCTGGGGTGTGGTGCTCATCTCCATTTCTAAGCCGAAGAGCCAGCGTTGTCCGTAGACACCTCCAAGGTCATGTGGCCGGCATGACTGCATGGAGCGCTGTTACCTTCCCGCCGGAGCGGTACCTATTGATCTACTCACATTTGCATGTTTTCGAACTGCTAGGTTGGCAGAAGCTAGGGCTGACAGCGGAAGCTCACGCCGCTCCCCGGAATCAAACCTGCGACTTTTCGATCAACAAGTTCAGCAGCTCAGTGCTTTAACCCACTGCGCCACCGGGGGCTCTGGGAGCAGATATAGACATGTGATTATACAAAGCATCGATTTTTGCAAGTTTTGGGGCTCTCTGCAGATAGAGCTAACTGGAAAGCAAAGGAGCTAAGCAAAGCAAAAACTTACTGTAGCAAGGAGCCAAGCAAAGAAAAGAGCTAACTGTAGCAAAGAACGAACTGTGCAGCCTAGGAAATAACTGTGCAAAGTAAAGCTAATGGTTTTCCGTTTTGTTTTTTGTTTTTTTGGTACCTTGCAAAACAAGTACTTTGGCAGAGAAAGCTGAAGATCTCTCAGCTTTCTCTTCATTTTTGGAAACAGACAGGTGGCGAATCCTCCCACGCAAAGCCCTCCTCCGCTGTGATTGGCCAAGAGAAGGGCTGTATCTGAGACTCCAAGCAGGGAGGGGGGAGCAGGCATGCTCTGCACATGGCAGCATGGTGGCCATGTGCAGGTGAGGAAGAGCATACAAGGATGGAGGGAGGCTCATGCCATCGAGTCCCTTCAAAGCATGGGGAGGATCTGTGTGAGTAGTTTAGCCCAATTCTATCGTTGTAGGAGTTCAGAATGCTCTTTCATTGTAACTATAAATCCCAGCAACTAAAACTCCCAAATGTTAACATCTATTTTCTCCAAATTTATTATTTATTTATTTAGAAGTTTTATATACCGGTCTTCTCACCTCCAAGGAGGGACTCAGGCCGGTTCACAACATGTGTTCATATACAATAATATACAAAAACAACACAGTGCAACATCATTACACATTAAAATATAAGTACAATAAAAACATCATCATCACATTACACAAGCCAAGTCGTCAATACAGTCACAGTCACAGTTCATCATCCTCCTTCCATCTGGACGAAGGTTATTGACTCAATCCTCAAATCCCACGTTCCAAAGCCAGGATTTTGTTAGTTTCCTGAAGGTCAGGAGGGAGGGAGCAGTTCTAATATCTAGTGGGAGGGAGTTCCAAAGCCGAGAAGCCACCACTGGGAAGGCCCTGTCCCTCGTTCCTACCAAACGCGATTGCGAAGGTGGTAGGACCGAGAGCAGGGCCCCTCCAAAAGAGCTTAATAATCTTGATGGTTCATAGGGGAGAATCCGTTCGGACAGATAAACTGGGCCGGAGTCGTTTAGGGCTTTATAGGTCCACCAATGTTCACATTGGGGCAGATTGAGTATTCGTGCCAAGCTTGGTCCAGATCCATCATTGTTTGAGTCCACACTGCTCTCTGGAAGTAGATGAACTACAACTCCAAAACCCAAGGTCAATGCCCACAAACCCTTCCAGTATTTTCTGTTGGTCATGGGTGTTCTGCGTGCCAAGATTGGTTCAATTCCATCATTGGTGGAGTTCAGAATGCTCTTTGATTGTAGGTGAACTATAAATCCCAGCAACTGCAACTCCCAAATGACAAAATCAATCCCCACCAGTATTCAGATTCAGGCATATTGGGTATTTGTGCCAAATTTGGTCCAGTGTATGAAAATACACTCTGCATATTAGATATTTCCATTATTATTCATAACAGTAGCAAAATTACAGTTATGAAGTAGCAACAAAAATAATGTTATGGTTGAGGGTCACCACAACATGCGGAACTGGATTAAGGGGTCGCACCGTTAGAAAGGTTGAAAAACACTGGTCTAGGGAGTTCAGTTTGTTTCACTTTAGTGTCTAGACTTGGTTTTCCGTGACTTTTCTCCTCCCTAATTTGCATCCAGATCGACCCCATGTTCCAGCAAACGGTGGCCTCCTTCGACGAGTGCAGCACAGCCGGGGTTTTCCTCACCACGCTCCGCACCCACAGCGACCTCAGCGAAGCTCTGTTCGATTCCATGGTGACGCCCCTGGCTTCTTCTGTGGCTTCAGAGGCACCAAATTCTTCAGCTGTGAAAATGGCAGGCTTGAGAGGTAGGGACGAAAAGCCATTTGATCTGTTTCAGTTGTGTTTCACCTGACAGCACCAGGAAGAGACAACACAAGGACTGTGAAACTCGCTGCAAAGAGAACTTAGGCTGTCTCCATTTGCTGGCAGATTACGGTGTCTTTCTGCATGGCTTTGAACTCATTTTCTCTTCATTGAATTGTATGGTGTGCTTTTGTGCTGTCCTTAAACATTTTTAGATGTTACAGCCTGACCCCTGTACTGCAGAAACCGGTTCGCCATCTTTCCGTACTTGCATCTGACAAAATATGTCCTCTTTTAATTTTCTAAGTTTTTCATTCTGTGGTGTGCTTCTCCTGGAAATCACAATAGAGCAGCGTTTCTCAACCTGGGGGTCGTGAGGGGGTGTCAGAGGCGTCGCCAAAGACCATCGGAAAACGCAGTATTTTCTGTTGGTCATGGGGGTTCTGTGTGGGAATTTTAGCCCAATTCTATCCTTGGTGGGGTTCAGAATGCTCTTTGATTGTAGCTGAACTATAAATCTGAGCAACTACAACTCTCAAATGACAAAACCAATCACCCGCAACCCCACCATTTGGACAAATTGAGTATTTCTGCCAAGTTTGGTCCAGATTTATCATTGTTTGAGTCCACAGTTCTCTTTGGATGTAGGTGAATTACTACTCCAAAACCCAAGGTCAATGCCCACCAAACCCTTCCAGTATTTTCAGTTCATCATAGGAGTTCTGTGTGCTAAGATTGGTTCAATTCCATCGTTGGTGAAGTTCAGAATGCTCTTTAATTGTAGGTGAACTATAAATCCCAGCAACCTCAACTCCCAAATCATAAAATCAATCCTCTCCCCCAACCCCACTAGTATTCTAATTTGGGCATATTGGGTATTTGTGCCAAATTTGGTCACGTGAATGAAAATACATCCTGCATATCAGATATTTACATTATGATTCACAACAGTAGCAGAATTACAGTTATGAAGTAGCAACAAAAATAATTTTATGGTTGGGGGTCACCACAACACTAGGAACTGTTTTAAGCGGTTGCAGCATTAGGAAGGTTGAGAAACACTGCCATAAAGTCATGCTGGCAAATGCCTGGAGATGTTTTAATGCAGGATAGGATACCAGGTTGCCACATTGCAGTATAGACCAGGTCCAGATATTATTGTCTGAGAGCAGAGATAGGAATAAATTATTGTATACTGATTCACATTAGCTTTGTTTTTATGGGACAACTTAGTTCTTGGGTGTCAACTTTGTTTGTCATCAGACTTTCAGATGTATCACATTTTAACCTTATTGGCAGCCACCTTGGATCCCATGGCAGGATAAAGGTGGGATATACATTTTGTGCGAAGGTCAGAACTGCTTAGTAGGCATGTGCAATCCATTTTAAAAAAATTTCTAAACTGTGTTCTTTTTAAAAAAATATTTTTTATTATTTTATCATAGTTAATACATTTGTTATACATTTTTTTTACAGCAGATATTATTCAATACACCTAACATACTTTGGCATCTAGTATTCTTATTCTGCTTAAACATATTTTCTATTCCTCACCACTGTGCTCCCCTCCCCCCTCTCAAGCCACAACTTTTACATGTCYTCTYTCCAAAATCTCAATTCTTCTTGTGGCGGTAACTTTCCTTCTTTKTTTTTTAATCCTTTTACAATAAATTTTCTCCATYCATCATCAAAATCKCTTTGTTTCCATATACCTCTTTTAACTTTTAATATACATGTCAGCTTATCATTTATTGCCAYTTTCCKTYKTTCCTTYTACCACTCCTCTATTTGTARAWTTATTTCTTTTTTTCRAYTTCRTTGCTATYAGCAYTCTTGCTATTYTTAATAAYTTTGTTARRGCTTCTTTATCCTCRTTTTTCAATTGWTTYTTGTTAWATAWTGATAAWAAAGCTYTACMAGYACTWRTCTCWATTTTKYTATTCATTATATRTTCTATTTCTCTAAATACTTTCCCCCCAAAATTATTTACATATTTACATTGCCACCACATATGTATATATGTTCCTGGTTCTTGACACCCTCTCCAACAATTTTTTGAATAATTTTTAATTATGTGTGCTAATCATACTGGTGTTAGATACAATTTCCATATTAACTTATAATAATTTTCTTTAACCCATATTGATAAATTTTTTAGATGTCTTTGTCTCCATAATTGTTGCCACTCTATTTTGTTCTAAACTGTGTTCAAAAGTACAAGGCGCTCATGCTTCAATTGTAAAGTTCTTTCTGAATTTTTGAGGTAACAGTTTCTGAACTCTAATGAAACTTACTAATCTTCGTAAGTACTTCGGTAATGGCAGTAGCACATGCGCAATAGGGAAAACATCACTGGCAGTGGGGAAACTTCAGGGGTGCCTCTCTCTCTTCATTTTTTTGAGCTATCCTGATGAAACTTGCTACAGTGGCAGAATACATTTACCGCTGTTAGCTTAAATAAACCACGTTTGATCAGCCCACACACTGCCTTGCCAGAAAAAAAAATGCCATGTAGGTGAACAGTAAAGTTCATGTTTGATCAGCACACACACTGCCTTGCCAGAGAAAGAAAACATGCCACGCAGGTGAACAGTAAAGAACAAGTAGTTTACTCATTGTCGTTCAGAACAACATATGTACAGTGTGATCAGTTGCATCAACTCACATAATCTCTTTTTATGAGTGATTCCAAGTGGTCTTTCTTTGTCCATGTGGATAAACCTCTTCAGCAGCTCATGAAGCAAGAGAATATTCCAAACTCTGTCTCTCTCTGCTTCTCACTCTTCTTCTCTTTCTGTACCTGCATAGTTCAAGCCTGAACAAAAATGTAACAAGAACCAAAAGTCCCAGGCTCAGCCTGCTCCCCAAACATTGCCCTACCAATCAGCTTCATACATCTTATTTTACAGTTGACACACATACACACACTCACTGATTCCTTTCATGCTCCAACATTTTCTATTGGGTATTTATTTATTTATCGTGTCAGGGGCAGACCAAACAGTTGCATTGCATTTTTTAACAAACAAACAAACAAACAAAACACAAAGTTTGCAAGTTTCATAGTTGATTAAATGTCCTTTGACCAGTATCTGGCCACTTGGAGTGCCTCTGGTGTTGCTGCAAGAAGGTATATTGGATAATATGGTAGGATAAATGCTCGGAATAGTTTCTCATGCCACAATCATACTTGTTATCCTTTCAAGCTATTCTTCTGCAATGTGCTGAAAAGCGGCTCCTTTGCCCTTCGCTGGCCGGCTTTCGGTTTTCTGAGTGGGACAGCGCCTCCCATAACGAGGTAAGTCAACCTGGCTGTCCCTGTGGATCAAGGGAGGTGGAGCGGGGGGTGGTGGTGCTCAACCCTGTCCCAGAGTGTGGCCAGATTAAAATAAATCAGATAGGTTTGAACAGACACATCTAGCCTTATATATTTGGTCAGCATGCCATCTATAAACACAAACTGTGTCCCAGATAGATTTGGTGCTACTTGAATTTGTATCCTGGCCATCTTGTTTCTTATCAGGTTTTGTTGATTTTTTTTATTTATTTATTGTATCAGGAGCGAACCAAGGCTACAGTTGTAATGTATTTTTTTTAAAAAAAAGAACACAAAGTTTAGAAACTTGGCATTATATTAAATGTCTTTTACCAGTAGCTGGCCACTTGGAGTGCCTCTGGTGTTGCTATAAGAAGGTCCAACATTGTGCATGTGGCAGGGCTCAGACTGCATTGTAATAGGTGATCTGTGGTTTGATCTTCTCCACACTCGCATGTTGTGGATTCCATTTTTTGGCCCCATTTCTTAAGGTTGGCTCTGCATCTCATGGTGCCAGAGCGCAGTCTGTTCAGCGCCTTCCAAGTCACTCAGTCTTCTGTGTGCCCAGGAGGGAGTCTCTCATTTGGTATCAGCCTCTAATTGAGGTTTTGGGTTTGAGCCTGCCACTTTTGGGCTCTGCATTGCTGAGGTGTTCCTGCGAGTATCTCTGTAGATCTTAGAAAACTATTTCTTGATTTAAGATGTTGTCGTGCTGGCTGATATCTGAACAGGAGATGGGCCAGAGATGTCACTACGTTGGTCCTTTAATTACTGGCTGCTACTTCCTGATGGATGTCAGGCGGTGGAATGCCAGCTAAACAGTATAATTTCTGCTGTGGTGTAGGGCGCTGACAGCCTGTGATAATGCAGCAAGTCTCATTAAGAGCCACATCCACTGTTTTAACGTGGTGAGATGTGTTCCACACTGGGCATATGTATTCAGGAGCAGAGTAGCCAAGCTCAAGAGCAAATGTCTTCACTGTGTCTGGTTGTGATCCCCAGATTGTGCCAGTCAGCTTTCGTATGATATTGTTTCTAGCACCCACTTTTTGCTTGATATTTAAGCAGTACTTCTTGTAGTCAGAGAGCGGTCCAGGGTAATTACCAGTTATTTGGGTGTGCTGTAATTCTCCAGTGGGATTCCTTCCCAGGTCATCCTCAGAGCTCGAGATGCTTGTCTGTTCTTAAGATGAAAAGCACATGTCTGTCTCTTAGATGGGGATGATGGAGAGGGCCTTATCTATGGTGGCCCCCTGACTCCGGAACTCACTCCCTAAGGACATTAGACAAGCCCCCACATTGGCAGTCTTTAGGAGGAGCCTGAAAACACGGCTGTTCCAGTGTGCCTTCCCTGAATAAAGGAAACAATTCCCTGCAAATATCCTGAGAAGCACTTTAATTATCCATTGGGTTGTTCTTTACATTTCGTTTAAAACCCTCCTACTAGATACACCCTCTATTTTTTTCTCTTGTGTGTATTTTCTTTTTTTTCTTAAATATTTTTTAAATTAATTATTTGACACAATCTCATATATAATCAGAAAATATACGTTCAGAAATAATGAAACATGTCTAGATCTGTATGTAGTTGGCAACTTGTACAAAGTAAGTATAACATACCATTCACTCAAGTTTAAGTCACTTTTAAAGGAAAATCCATGCATGGATACACCCTCTGTTCATGTCCAGCATTTATTTTATTTTAAAGTTTTAACTATTACATCTGGCCCGGCCATAGGTTTTTAAATCCTTGTGTGTTACTGTCTGTGAGTTATATTAATTGCATTGTTTATTTTGATTATTCCCTGTTGTTTTTATTGATGTGTTGTTGTTGTTGGGCTTGGCCTCATGTAAGCCGCTCCAAGTCCCTTGGGGAGATGGTGGAAGGGTATAAATAAAGTATTATTATTATTATTACGAATCAGCTGATTTTCCCTGTAATAGGCAGGAAGAGCACCTAAAGTTTCAGAGAGCTTGTGTTCAACCATCTCAAAGCTCCCTGTTTGGGCGATGATGGCACGATCGTCAGCATAGATGAAACTCTTTGTCCCTTCTGGCAGGTTTTGTTGATAATGTAAGTCCATTGAACACTTTATCAGAGATTCAATTAAAACTACACCATTATATGTAAACGGTGTACATAACATCTGTTGCTCCCAGTTTTGAAATCCGGTCTAAAGTCATCTTGGTTTGGACAAGGAAGGTGGCCTTTACAGGGCTCCCCCATTCTATGACAGGTATCCTCATTTATCCTTTTTTTCTCTCTTCAGTCAGTCTCGGCTCTCATGGATAAGTTTAAGAAGAGCAACCAGGTGTTTGACATCAACGCAGAGGTCGACAGTGACTCTGGGGATCCTCTGATGGAAGACGATTTTGATGCGGACAACATGGATAGGACTGTTGCAAATGATCTTGGGGAATTTTCCAACAAGATAGAGGCCTGCAGAATAGCACCAGGAAGCTCAAAGTACGCTTGGGTTGGGAAGGTTTGACCATGCGCAGTCTTAAGAGGAGATTGAGCTCAGCCATTTGTTTCACAACACAGTGACAGGTGGACTCTGGGTTGACAGACCAGGACTACAAATTTTACCTAGCATTCTCACAACAAAAGGCTATGGCAGTCATACAAAGTCTCAAGATAAGGAGCAAGCACTGTTTTCAAACAATGTTCTAGCTCAGTGTTTCTCAATCTGCGGGTTGGGACTCCTGGGGGTCAGATATTTACATTATGATTCATAGTAGTAGCTAAATTACAGTGATGAAGTAGTAACAAAAATAATTTTATGATTGAGGGTCACTACAACATGAGGAATTGTATTAAGGGGTCACTGTGCCACCGGGGGCTCCAGGTAGATATATATGAATATAGATATTTAGGGCTTGCAAATATTATAAGGGGGGAAAGCACACAATCATATATAGACATGGTCTAGGTAGATATAGAGCTGCAGTGGGTTAAACCGCTGAGCTGCTGAACTTGATGATCGAAAGGTTGCAGGTTCAAATCTTAGTAACAGGATGAGCTCCCACTGTTAGCCCCAGCTTCTCCCAACTTAGCAGTTTGAAAACATGCAAATGTGAGTAGATCAATAGGTAACAACGCTCCATGCAGTCATGGCGGCCACATGACCTAGGAGACGTCTACGGACAATGTCAGGGGAAAACCTTTGCCTAGATAGATATGAAATATAGATATATAGGGCTTGCAAATATTGCAGGGGAAATACACACTCACATGCGTATATCTAGATAGAGATGTCTCTAGACAGATATAAACATAGATATATAGGGCTTGCAAATATTGCAGGAGGGAAATGCACATACTTGTATATAGAGAGAGGATTTGCAAACGTTTCAGGAGGAAATGCATATTTGAAATTAGTATATATAATTATAGCTCTATATCGAGTTCTGCATTGTTTATATAGGCATTGAATATTGGCCTGTTACTATTTTGGAAGCTGCCCTGAGTCCCCTCGGGGAGATAGGGCGGGATACAAACAATGTTTTATTGTTTTTATTATTATTATTATTATTATTATGTTGTTGATAATGTACTTTTGTGGACCCTCCTTTTCCACTTATAGAACTACTGTTTTTCTTTGTAATATGGTAAATATTCAAAAACATTTAACCTACAAATGCCTCAATTAATGTCGTTTTATTGGTATCTATTTTTATTTTGAAATTTACCAGTAGCGGCTGCATTTCCCACCTTCAGCTTATACTCGAGTCAATATGTTTTCCCAGTTTTTTGTGGCAAAATTAGGTGCCTCGGCTTATATTTGGGTTGGCTTATACTTGAGTATATACGGCAATCCAGATTTATCAAAGCAGATAATCCATATTATATGCTTTGAAGTGGATGATATGAGTCTACACTGCCATATAATCCAGTTCAAAGAAGATAATGTGGATTTTATATGTCAGTGTCAAAGGGGTCTATGTCTGAGGCTCCATCTACACTGAGATATACTGCAGTTTCAGGATGTGGTTTAACTGCATTGATCTGCATTATAGACTCATACTATCCAGTTCAATGCCGTTAAAACTGCATTATGCAGCAGTGTAGATGGGGCCTGAGAAAATATTTATGTCTTATGTTCGGTTTTTAGCTCTTCCACTTCATTTCTTTATATGCAGCTCTTTCGGAAGTTCCATCTCTTATCAGAATTCATTGATTATGCTGAAGGAATATCTATGAATCAAATATATGACCTTGTTCACACATGCAGTTAGTTCTTGGAGGGATGATCAAGCCTCCAATTGCTAGAGCCGGTGTTGGTTTTTCTTCCAGGAAAGACGTGGTTCTTCTGGGAGAAGGAGATGTGAGCTCCATGTGCCTCCAGCTGTCGATGAACCCCAGTGAATACTCGTACTTCAGCCCTCGGACCATGTCCATGTGGAGAGGCCCGGAGCACTGGCGCTTCAAGCTTCGCCAGCAAGGTATGTACCTTTTGGGAAAGAGATGGTGCCAAAGCATAGGTAACATTTCTAGTTTTTCACAAAGTGAAGCTTCCTGTGACAAATATGGGCACAGGCTTTATCCTGCTCCTAGAATCAGGTTTGGTAAATCAAAGTTGGAGCTACATGTAGTGTCGTTGATAACAACAACAACAACAACAACAATATCTAAAGCAGTGTTTCTGTTGATCATGGAGGTTCTGTGTGGGATGTTAGTCCCAATTCAATCGTTGGTGGGGTTCAGAATACTCTTTGATTGTAGATGAACTATAAATCCCAGCAACTACAACTCCTGAATGTCAAGATTCTATTTTCCACAAACTCCACCAGTGTTCACATTAGAGCATAATGAGTATTCATGTAGAGTTTGGTCCAGATCCATCATTGTTTGAGTCCACAGTGTTCTCTGGATGTAGGTGAACTACAACTCCAAAATCAAAGGACACTGCCCAACAAACCCTTCCAGTATTTTCTGTTGGTCATGGGAGAACTGTGTGACAAGTTTGGTTCAATTCCATCGTTGGTGGTGTTCAGAATGCTCTTTGATTGTGGGTGAACTATAAATCCCAGCCACTACAACTCCCAAATGACAAAATCAATCCCTCCTCAACCCCACCAGATATTTACATTACGATGCATTACAGTAGCAAAATTACAGTTATGAAGTTGCACCGAAAATAAATTTTTTGGTTGAGGGTCACCACAACATGAGGAACTGTATTAAGGGGCTGCGACATTAGGAAGGTTGAGAAACGCTGATCTAAGGCATATTACTTACTTACTTAGGTGATCCTTCGTTGTCCGCATATGATGGCCCTCAAGTAAACCAGTGAGGTTCTGCAGCAACCGATTTAGCCTTGCCTTTTGCTCAGTCGTTTTGCCCCTTCTTCGCAGGTGAAGCCAACACTGAGAAACCGACCAAAAGAAAGGCTCCAAAAAAAGCCTTTGAGATCAATTTTGAGGAGGAGGTCAACTTTGAGCCTTATTTCTGCAAAACAAGAGTAAGTATAGTGATGTATTTCTAGTGGCCATTGCTGCAAGATGTGGGGGCAACCTCCAGTACTGAAGTGGTGGATAAGGCTTCCCCAACTGTCCTCCCAGTGTATTGGACTGAGTTGTGAGATTGTGAATATTTTATTCCCACACTTCTGGAATGTGCTTAGTTGAAGAAGCAGGAATAAGAGGCGTTCATTAAAGCTTTTCCCTGACCCCCTTCCTGTGGACTGAGAGCAATGAAACTTGGCCCAGTTCTGAGTGCTTCTCTCCATGGGTGCCACCATCTAGGGACACACACTTCTCCCATCTTTTGAAGCAACAGTCAACACCTCGCTTGCAGAAGTCGACAGGTTGCTTCAAAAGCCACATTGTGACTTCGGAAATCAGACTCTCATCATCTGGAAAATTCTTGCCCTTCAAAAATACTCGTAACTTCCTTGTTGGAAAGAGGTGGAAGTCCGATGGTACAAAGTCAGGTGAATCACGGGGATGCAGGAGAATTCCAAAGCCAGACAAGCATGCTTCTTCCATTTGGGCAACAGGTGAGTTGTGAACTGGTGCATTGCCTTGTAGGAGGCAAAGAACACCTTTGGGGAGCATGCCACATCTGTCTCTTGGTTTTGATGGTCTCCCGCCATTTGCGCAGCAGTGAAGCCTAGTCTGCCCCAGTGATCATGGGACCCTTTGCTAGGAAATCCATCAATCCTTACTACTCCGTGCTGGTCCCAAAATACTGTGAGCATGACCTTGCCTGCCGAGAGTTGGGCACATGCCTTCTTTGGAGGTGGTGAGTCAGGATGCTTCCATTGCATCGACTGGACTTGAGTCTCAGGATCAGAGTGATGGACCCAGCTTTCACCCTGTGTGATCAGTCTGTTGAAAAAGTCCTCCTGGTTTCCATGGCACATCATTGTCAAGAGAGCCTGCTTCTGGAAAGGTATGAGCAGTTGGGGAACCCAGCAAGCGGATCCCTTATGCAGGTAAAGATGCCCTTGGGTGATTTTTTCCACTGACCCCATGCTCATCTTGACATTTTGGGCTAGGTGGCGAATGGCCATGTGGCAATTTTCCAAAACGGCGACCTTCACTTGCTGTTCATCAATCGCAGAGTGGGGTCACTCTGGAATCGGAGATGTTTGCACCGTAGTCCGACCACATTGGAATGGCCGAGGCCAGTTCTTGACTACAGCATAGGATGGGGAATCCTCACCATCAACCTCTTTCATCTCATCTAATGTCTCCTTTGGTGTGCGGCCTTCCAAGCAAAGGAACTTGAGGACTGCTCTGTATTCCACTGGGTCCATTTTCAAACCTCACACCACTTCAGCACCTGGCAAATCAAGACTGTTATCAGTTCTGGGTTGGTAATTGGCATGTAACCTATAGAGACATATAATGACACGTGCAGTTTAAGTGTCCTATGATAAATAGAAGTGGGACAGGGGAAATCTTTAATGAACGCCCCTCGTAAGTTGGCTTGTTTGTGAGCAAGGGTGGAAGCAAGTGCTTTCTTTCTCAATCTGCAACTGGTCTTTTTTTATAGGCGGCGACAACTCTGGCCAAATCTACCCTTGAAAATCAAAACAAAAAGGGCAACACTCTCCCTGCCGACTTCCATTATGACCCTGACAACCTCACCTGCCTTTTCCTCAAACCATCCCACAGGGTAAGCAATGTCTAACTGTTTGGGTGTCCACTCTGGCTTTTTCCATGAAATTACACCATGTAACAAAATTTGAAAAACGCTCTGTTTCTAGTTTGAAAGTGTTATTACCTGTTTAATTGTATGGTCCTTACTTTGAAAGTAGTTGTTCTGTTCCAGAAACTTTGTTTCTGTGGCTGCCATAAACTATTTTTTTAAAAAAAAAGTTGTCCGCAGCCTCAGCAACATGGAGTAGATGAAAGATTAGGGGGAATCCAATCCCAAATAGGGAAACAAGTTGTCCAGGAATGCCTAGCTACTCTAAATGAATTCAAGTCCCAGGGTCAGATCAACTACATCCAAGAGTATTGAAGGAACTAGCGAAAGGAAGTTGTTTTGGAACCACTGGCAATCATCTTTGAGAGTTCTTAGAGAAGGGAAAAAGTCCCAGCAGATTAAAGGAGGGCAAATGTGGTCCCTATCTATCTTCAAGAAGGGAGAAAAGGACGACCCAAACAATGAGCAATGTTCGGTCAGCCTCACGTCGATACCAGGCAAGAGTCTGGAAAAGATCGTTAAGGAAGTGGTCTGTAAACACTTAGAAAGGAATGTGGTCATCACTCATAGTCAACATGGATGGATCCCCCTGAAATCACAGGTCCGCAGTTTGGGTGTCCTCCTGGACTCATCACTTACGCTTGAGGCTCAGGTGTTGGCGGTGGCTGGGAGGGCTTTCGCACAACTGAGACTCGTGCGCCAACTGCGACCGTACCTCGCTAAGGCTGATCTGGCCGGGGTGGTCCATGCCTTGGTCACCTCTAGATTGGACTACTGTAATCGCTCTACGTGGGGCTGCCCTTGAAAACGGCCTGGAAATTTCAACTGGTCCAACGGGCGGCGGCCAGGCTGTTAACTGGTGCTCCTTACAGAGAGAGGTCAACCCTCCTGTTTAAGGAGCTCCATTGGCTGCCGTTCATCTTCCGGTCCCAATTCAAGGTGCAGGTGCTTACCTACAAAGCCCTAAATGGTTTGGGACCCGCCTACCTGCGTGACCGCATCTCCATATATGAACCCACACGATCCCTTCGATCATCTGGAGAGGCCCTGCTCACGATCCCACCTGTCGCAAGCGCGTTTGGTGGGGACGAGGGACAGGGCCTTCTCTGTGGTAGCCCCCCGACTCTGGAACTCTCTCCCCAAGGACATTAGACAAGCTCCAACGTTGGCAGTCTTTAGGAAGAGCTGAAGACTTGGCTGTTCCAGTGTGCCTTTCCAGAATAGGAAACTCCCGGCATCAAGTCCAAATGCACTTTGTTAGAGTTTCAGGATTATTTGCATATGGCACCTACCTCCAAATACCTCTACATATCACTTGTCAAATCTAGCACTTTTAAATTTTGTCTGTTACACTGGCCCGGCCCTTGGTTTTAAATACGTCACTGTGTCATTGTTTTATTGTTTAATGCTTTGCTTGATGTTTTTATTTGCTTATGACTTTTATTGTGTATGTATATGTTATTGTTTGTTGGTGTTGGCCTTTGTAAGCCGCATCGAGTCCTTCGGGAGATTTTGCGGGGTATAAATAAAGGTAATAATAATAATAATAATAATAATAATAACAACAACAACAACAATCATGCCAGAATTATCTGAGTAACAAGCTGGGTAGATGTGGGGAATGCCATGGATGGAGCTTACCTGGATTTCAGGAAGGCCTTCCTTCAACAAGGTCCCCCATGACCTTCTGGCAAGGAAACCAGTCCAATGTGGGCCATGCAAAACTACGGTTAGGTGGATCTGGAATTGGATAAGAGAACGAACCCAGAAGGCGATTCTCCCCAATGCTTCCTCTTCATCCTGGAAAGAAGTTACGAGTGGAGTGCCATCAGCAGAGTACCATTCTGGGCCCGGTCCTGTTCAGGAACTTGAGTCATGACTTAGGTGAAAGGTTAGAAGGCATGATCATCACGTTTGCTAACGGGACCAAATAGGGAGTAAGAGCCAATACTCCAGAAGACAGGAGCAGAATTCAAAACAATCTTCACAGATTAGAGAGAAGATTGGCCAAAAGTAACACAATGAAGTTCAAATGCAAGATACTCCACTTAGGCAGAATAAAAGGAAATCCAAAGACACAGAATGGGGGGCGATGCCTGGCTCGGCTCGACAACAGGACGCGTGAAAAAGATCTTGAAGTCTTTGTGGGGAAGGAGGTGAACATGAACCAACAATGTCGTGTGGTGGCAAAATAATAATAATAATAATAATAATAATAATAATAATAATAATCTTTATTTATACCCTGCCACCATCTCCCCATGGGGACTCGGAGCGGCTTACATGGGGCCAAGCCCAGACAACATATTACAATAGAATAAAAACCAAAGCATAACATCAACACAATATCAACAAAATTACATAGGAAAAAAAAGTATAAACACAATAATAAAATAACATTTCAATAAGCACAATCACGATAGCAATGGGAGGGCCACATGTACAGGATAAAACGATTAAAAACTAATGAGATAAAAATAGGAGATTATTTGCAGGGGATTTTGGCCTGGATCAATAGGATCTGGTGCCTAGATCCAGAGAAGTCATGCTCCCCATGCTCTCTTCTGCCTTGGTCAGACTACTTTACCTGGAATCAAACTGTGTCCAATTCTGGGCACTGCAATTGAAGGGAGATGTTGACTCTAAGCTGGAATGTGTCCAGAGGAGGGCAATTCAAAGGATCAAGGATCTGGAGAACAAGCCACATGAGGAGCGGCTGAAAGAGCTGGACATGTTTAGCCTGCAGAAAAGAAGGCTGAGAGGAGATAGGATGAGTTCCATGTATACAAATGTGAGGGGAAGTCATAAGGAGGAGGGAGCAAGCTTGTTTTCTGCTGCCCTGGAGCTTAGAACACAGAACAATGGCTTCAAACTACAGGAAAATAGATTCTATCTGAACATTAGGAAGAACTTCCTGACTGTAAGGACTATTCAGCAGTGGAATTCTCTGCCCTGGAGCGTGGTGGAGGCTCCTTTTTTGGAGGCTTTTAAACAGAGGATGGGTGGCCATCTGTCAGGGGTACTTTGAATGTGATTTTCCTGCTTCTTGGCAGAATGGAGTTGGATGGGATTGCCCAGAAGGTCTCTTCCAACTTTAGAATTCTATGATTCTACGTTGAATTGGTTGAGACTCAATGATGGGATATTCACTGAAAAACTAGATCAAAATGTGCTGCAGAATGTCCTTCCCACAAAAACAAAGTTTTTGCAGTTGAATAAACTTTCCCCATGTTTTTATGATAGAACCAATTAGGAAATGACATTTATAACCCAGGAACAAAAACTGTTACATGTTGCTATTATTATTACCTACATTTTATGGGTGAATTTTAATCACAATTTTACCTGTTTATATTTGTTATGTGTATTTTAATAGTGTTTTGTGTTTTCTTGCTCTTTTAACCATATTGCCCCCCGCCTTAAGCCACAAAGAGAGGCTTGTTGTTGTTGTTGTTATTGTTATTATTATTATTATTATTGTTTGAAACACAACAAGATGAGTCCACAGCAGACACTCTGCTGGCTGTTGTATTGGATCACACGTCGGACACTTCCCAAGTGTCTAGGACTGTGTGATGTATCGGCGAATAATGTGTTCAGATCCCAGTAAGGTGGCCTTCTGCAGCTGGCAGATGGTAATTTTGTCAGCGCCGACTGTTATTAAGTGCAGGCCAAGGTCTTTAGGCACTGCACCCAGTGTGCCGATTACCACTGGGACCACCTTTACTGGCTTGTGCCAGACTCTTTGCAGTTCGATTTTTAAATCCTCATATCGTGTCAGCTTTTCCAATTGTTTCTCTGCCATCCTGCTGTCACCTGGGATTGCGACATCGACAATCCATACTTTGTTTTTTAACACGATTGTGAAGTCAGGAGTATTGTGCTCCAAAACTCTGTCTGTCTGAATCCAGAAGTCCCAGAGGAGTTTGGCGTGTTCATTCTCTGTAACTTCTTCCGGCTTGCGATCCCACCAGTTCTTGGTGGCAGGCAGATGGTATTTGTGGCACAAGTTCCAATGAATCATCTGAGCAACGGTGTTGTGCCTCTGCTTGTAGTCTGTCTGTGCGATCTTCTTGCAGCAGCTCAGGATGTGATCTATTGTTTATTATTATTTGCATCCTCGTTGCATTCTCTACTTGGCATGTTTATCAATTCACTGTTCTTTGCAGAGGGCTTCACTGTGGGATGCTCTGGGATTCTTCCTACTATTGCTTTCTATTGTTAACTAATTTCTCCTTTTTTATTATTATTATTTCCTTAGTTGTGCAAGATGCCACAGCAGGGCACTTCACCCAGTCGCGACGATGAGGCGGGGGAATACGATTATAATAACCTCAATGATACATCCAATTTCTGCCCTGCTTTGCAGGTGAGTGGTAT